TCTGGTTCAAATTAATTTAGAGATTGGAACAACTACCAATTAGTCTTTTTGTTTTTTTTTTTTTTTTTTTTTTTTTGGGATACAGAAGCACTTGATTGATCAGCCTTATATTACTTTCAAAAACGTATGGTTGCTATTAGCAAGTCCACAAGCAAACTCAACCAGTTGTTGGGGTGTCATGACAACAATACTTCTTAAATTCATGTAAACAACAGAGTTGGGTTCTTTAGAATCGGGCCATTGAAGACACTCACCCTCTTATTTTCATAAATTGGATCCTTTCAGCTTCAAATGATTATTGTCAATCTAGCTGATGAGTAAATGTAAATGTCCAATTGTGTAAGTTGAAGGAAATATGGAGGAGAGAATGTCCACAATGTCATTCTCCAGTTCTTTAAATGTGTTGGAAATAATTGTAGAGGCTCTTTTAGCTCTCTACTTCATCAAAGGCAAACTTTATTATAAACACAAATGTGAGGATTCAAAGAAGAACTAGCAGAAGGAGAAGCAACTGACTAGTCGGCTAGTGCGCAAGTGAAGGTAGGGGAGTGTACTACCGTAATGACAGAGACACTCTCCTCTTGTGCCTTTAATGCTTGTCCTAACACTTCTATTTATAGCCTTTTGGATGTCTTGAATATTACCCAGTGGTCTATGTCATGCGTTATGCCTACCTAGGTAGGCATGATGACACTAGAACTCTAAAAAGTCACTTCTACTCATTGAGGCTCGGAACCTGAGGGGTATTCTTATCCTTTGCATTAAATGCATTTTGTCATTTTATAACCGGCGATAGCCAAATTAATTAAGATTATATCAAAGCATTAAATGTGATGTTAAGTCTCTCTATCACATCATACATCCATCACCTCACTAAACAAGCTCATCTACAAAGCACCCTCTGGTTTCTCATCCACAATACCAATATTCTTTTACATATACCAAGGGAGAGAACGTCAAGCTATCGAGAAGGCCGTACCCTTATCTCGAGTTGCTTGAGTTTGGAGCTTTTAACATCCATCTTAACTTGGCGAGCTTGTTATGACTCGATGTCGAAGCTTTTCACGATTTAAAACGACCTAACATAGCACCAGGGCTTGGTGACTCAATGGCAATCGAAGTTTAAACTACCTGGCATAGCGCCAAGGTTTGGTGACTCGATGAGAAGGCATATCAAGGTTTAATCGACCTGGTGTAGCGTCAGGATTGTTGGTGGCTCGATGGCGAGGCCTATCGATGTTTAAGTTACCTAGTGTAGTGCCAGGGTTTGTCACTCCATTCATTTACGTACATGCATGGCATGACTCGTCACTCCATTCATTTACGTTTTATTTTAGGGAAAATTACATATAAATGGAGTCAAAGTTTCATATTTACTTAGAGGCTGAGTCAAAGTTCCATATTTCTCTAAAATGGATTGCTGAGGTGGCACATGGTTTTTTACTGTTTAGAAATTGTGATGCCTAAAATACCCTTCCGCGAAGGTACTACTTTTTCTTCGAAGGTACTACTTTTTTGAACTGAAGGTACTACTTTTTGGCGTCCAGGTACCATGTTTTTTAAACACCCGCGAATGTACTACTTTTTCTCCGAAGGTACTACTTTTTTGAACTAAAGGTACTACTTTTTTGTTAGGGAAGGGCATTTTAGGCACCACAATTTTCTAAACAGTAAAAAACCATGTGCCACCTCAGCAATCCATTTTAGAGAAATATGGAACTTTGACCCAGTCTCTAAGTATATATGGAACTTTGACTCCATTTATATGTAATTTTCCCTTTATTTTATGTACACATATATAAAGAAATTTTATTGATCATATATATATATATATATAGATATATCTATAAACAGTTGAAGAACTGACGCACATAGCTGTCGGAATAAAATTGAAAAGAAACATATAAAAAATATAATTCTCAATAATTCAGCTCGTGAATGACATGTGATTATATTCTAAGTTGTAACACACAAGAAATCAGAGCTTGGACTTAGATGAGCCTAAGAATCTCAGAAGAAGTATTTGAATAATTTTATAATCAACCATTATTTACAATTAATTAGGTGGTGGACAAAGTCAAATTCACGATGCTTATAAAAATTCCAAATTTTTGAAATTAGTGTTTTTTTATACTTTATTTATACTTTTTTTTTTTTTGTCTTAAGATAATTTTAAATATTTCAATTTTCAAATTGAATATTTGTCTTTATTTGCTTAATTAAAAATTTAAGAGTTCTTTTAACACCACCAACAGGTATTTGAACATTTTTTTTTTTTTTTTTTTTTTTTTTTGACTAACATATGCATAATTACTAAAGAGATTTGTAGCCTAATAACACTTACCCGTTTGTCAAAGTAAAAGTTGGAGGATAGGAGACTTTAATGATAAATCAAATCCATATTAACTGCAAAATTATTCAAAGCTACTATATAATTAATAATTAATTGCAAATTATATTATCAATGCATGTCTTGGAAATTGCAATATTCAAGCTAGTGAGGTCTCACTATCATTATTGTGGCTACAAATAAAATGAAGCCATTTCTGCTGGTCACTTCGTATACTCTATTATTTTTTTAAAATAAAATTGATTAAATTGGGTGGACCATGTTTGCTAGAAATGAAACAGCAAGCCAAAACCAGTGAGGAAAACACTCGAAAGACACGCCCAGACTTTTTGCGGGGATCGGGGTTTTAGGACATTGTAACTGGACACATTACGAAACAGTACCTTAATTAAATATGGGATTAAGAAATAAGAGTCTTGTCCTAAATTAGATATTAAGTAGTATATATATGGCTCGTGAATGTTACACGTTGGCTCTTGAAATTGGGTTCAGGATAGGATGAAAGATACATGGTGTCAGACTTCATCATTTTTCTTTTGTGGAGATGGCATCTCTGTGTCTCTTGTAGATAATAAAAAGCTCTAATGCTTCTACTATAGGTTGAGTGCAATGAACCTTTACTACAGTGGTGTTAAAAAATAAAGGCAAAAGAAATGAGCTTTTTGTTTTAGTGGGTTTTATTCCCCTTCAAGCTGATTTTTTTCGACCAATGTGTTAGGTAAATTTGAGAATCCCAACAAAGGAAAGTATAGCCTAGGCAGGCATTTTCAAATTCCCACTCAATTTTATTCTACTAGTGTCCCGGTCGACCTCACCACAATTGTCGTGAGCTCGATCTCAAGTCAATACATTTTGGACAAAGAAAATTAATTAGTGCACAAATAACCTCGTCACATATTCAAGATGCAGTGATCTCACTTTCAATATATATATATATATATATATAAGACTTTCAGAGATCAAAGTTTAATTTGATAAAATTAAATCAACAAAAAGAGAATGTAAAAACTCGAGTAGTGGTTTTGGTTCGTGTGATTTTACTTTAATGCTGTGTTTGGTGTTCAAGAATTGAATGAAATGAAATTTTTATTTCAATCATTCATTTATTTGGTATATAATTTAAAATGAGAATAATCATTTCATTTTCAAGTATTTTTTAAAATAAATAAATAAAGTTCTCGAAAAACCATCATGTTTTAAGTTCAAAAACCACAGCCACCACCACAACTTCCTTCCACCATCGCCACCTCCATTGCCTTCCATCATTCATTGCCATCGCCACCAATGTTGCCACCGTGAACCACCACACTAACGCTGCCTTCCACCACCGCCATCTCCATCGTTGCCACCACCACCACATATTTCCAGCACTGTCATCATCTTCCACCACTGCTATTACCATCACCAACATCACCATTACCACAAACCACTGCCATCGTCATCACCACATTCCACTACTGCCACCGATTCTTATGAGTGCCACCACTTTGTAGAATTTAATTTGAAATTCATTCCATTCTAAATTTTAAATTGGCCCAACCAAATACTAGAATAATTATTATCATTTCATTCCTACATATTTTATATTTGTAATTAAATAATAAAATGAAATTTTTATTCTCATTTGTATTTCATTCCATTCCAAATGTAATGAATTTTGCTGCAAAATTTTGACTATATAATCTTCATTCAAATAGTTAAATTCAATTGTAAACAATAAAAAGAATAGTTAGATTCAAACTTCAATGGTAAACAAAAAAAAAAAAGCTGATGACAAGGGATGTGAGGTTGACCTCATTATAGGACTACTCATTCACATGTATATTATTATTTTTATATAAAATAATAAAATAGCATAATTGGCCTTCGAAAAAAAATCCCTTATACAATTATGTCTCACTTTTGAAGGATGATTATATAAATTTCATTATTTAAAAAATTAATTAAATTGTAAAAAGCTAGTAAATAGTAAAGTGCAAAAGTATCATCCTCATTAAAGAACTCAAAAGAAACACAGTAATGCAATAATTAAATGTGGCATTAAAAAGTGTATTATTAATTATAAAAAAGTGCTTGAAATAAGGATGGAACGAAAATGAGACTGCTGCTGACATGGCACAACAGCTGTCAAGTCATAGCTTGAGCCAGCTGGTCAAACCCAGGTGCCAATAAAGACAACTCACGAGTTTTTTTGTGCGGTGCCGTTACTGTTACATTGGATACCCACAAATGACGTACACATCTCCATACTCCTCCAGCTGGATCCTGAAGTTACGCATTTCCATAAAAGTCCATACCACACACCTTCCAACCTGCCACCAATCCACCAACGTCTCTATTTATTCCTAGTTTTTTCCTACATTACCCCCTATTAGATTCACCGCCATCCCTCTACACAGAAGGCCATTATCGTCCATTTAGTACAAAAAGTCCAAACTGTAACTAAGCTGTAATGCAAAGGACCACTGAAAAGATTTTAAACCCATGGCTTTAAGACCTTGAATCCAATACAACGCGCTCGTCTTCGCGTGCCAACATTTTATGGAGGTTTAACAACTGAGCACGTGAAATTACCATCTCCGCTTTTTGAATATAAAAAACGCGTAGTAGTACCGCTGTCACACACACACTCTCTCCATCCTGAAGTAATTGCAATGCTTTTGACGAGATGTTTATTTCTAAGCAAGTTCGCCAACTCTGCATATATTATATATATAGAGACCGAGATCTATGTTATATATATAGCCCATTGCACACACAACTTTGTATCACACATATTAGAATCTCAAGTCATCTCATCTTCTTTATCAGTTTATCTCCATTCTCTCTATCTAGACATCCTCTGTCTTGGTTTGTAAATGGCTTCCATGGCATCTACCCATTTCACTCTAACCCTTTTCTTGCTAGTCTCTCTTTTCAACATTTCATTTGCTGCGAGAAAACTCAGTGAGTTGGTCCAAGACCAGACTCAGCTCCTGCAATACCACAAAGGCCCTCTTCTTTATGGTAAAATCTCAGTCAACCTCATCTGGTATGGCAAGTTCAAGCCTTCCCAAAAAGCCATTGTCTCCGATTTCATCACCTCACTGTCATCCTCATCGCCACAGAGCCAACCATCAGTTGCCACGTGGTGGAAGACCACCGAGAAATACTACCACCTGGTTGATTCTAAGAAACCCTCCTCGCTCTCACTCTCTCTGGGAAAACAAGTGGTCGACGGGAGCTATTCTCTAGGGAAGTCGCTCACACAGAAACAGGTCGTGCACTTGGCATCGAAGGGTGATCAAAGGAACGCCATCAACGTTGTGTTGACCGCGTCTGATGTGACCGTTGATGGGTTTTGTTCAAGCAGGTGTGGGACCCATGGGTCTGCTAAGAGTAGTACAACTGCCCAGGTTAAGGGCAAGAATTACAAGTTTGCCTACATCTGGGTCGGTAACTCGGAGACTCAGTGCCCGGGTCAATGCGCTTGGCCTTTCCACCAACCCATCTACGGACCACAGAGCCCACCCTTGGTTGCACCCAACAACGATGTGGGTATGGACGGGATGATCATAAACCTGGCTAGCCTATTGGCTGGGACGGCGACGAACCCATTCGGAAATGGCTACTACCAGGGCTCAGCGGGTGCGCCACTAGAGGCTGCGTCGGCTTGTCCTGGGGTCTATGCGAAAGGGGCCTACCCGGGCTATGCTGGAGACTTGTTGGTGGACCCAACGACTGGTGCGAGCTACAATGCGCATGGTGCGAATGGGAGGAAGTACTTGGTTCCTGCTTTGTATGATCCTTCAACGTCGTCGTGTTCGACTCTTGTTTGAAACGGGTGGCAAAAAGTAGTAGCTAGTGGCTAGATGAACTTATAGAGAAAATTCAATTCATTTATTCATTTGTTCTCTCATACCAGATGGCCTAATTACAACAATTAATATTAAACTTTAAATATATTTTTGGAAACATGTGCATAAATATTTTTCGAATTGTGGAATGGATAACATTTAACCAATGTATTCAGGATAGTGAACTCACTGACTTGGATTCAGTGGCTTTCTGTTCACTTGGTCTAACATGATTCATGGTGTTGCTAGTATAAGTTATATAGGGTTATGGTTAATGATTCTTGGCTCTCTGCATTGCCTTTGGCAAGTTATGAGTTTCTCCTCCACCAATTCCTAACCACTCTCCCATGGTGATCAAATGTGGAACCACAAATCCCAAAATAAATGTTCCATTTAAAAATTTAAATTTCATTGGTGACCACAAAGACTTCATTACCACAGTTGCTATGGTGTGGGGAATGGAGATTCCAGATACTACCATGTTCCAAGTTACTAGGAAACTTAAACTGCTCAAATAACATCTGAAGGCCCTGAACGGGAAAGATTTTTTTGGTACAAATATAAGAAAAAACAAATATCTTTTGTTTGGTAGAAATAAGACGAGCAGAAAAGAGAAAATATGATGGATGGATCATCATTCATTCTTTACAAGTTCTCTCCCCTCCTCGAATACAAACCAAAGAAAGAAAGAAAGAAAGGGAAGCCAGATTGTTATGATAACTTTAAATTATAATATTACCCTTCATAATTATTAGATAAATTTAGCATTAGCTATCACTCTCCTTCATTTTCTCTTAACAAATAAAGTAATATGCTACCTCATTCTTTTCTCTTCCATCCAACCAAACAAAATGAAAAAAATGATATTATCATTTTTCTATGATGTCTCATCCATTCATTCTTCTTTCCTTTCTATACAATTAACCCCAAATACTAACAAAAGTCATCATTTTAAACTTATCACCCTTGAGTCTCATTGCATAAAATGTGGCTCATTATACAATGAGAGATATGGGCTAACCGATGTGGAAGTGATGCACAATGGAAGACTCAAGATGTCGATATTTGAAGAGGGGTAAAGCTTGTTGGTTCATCAATGGCGGATTTGTGGCGGTTGGAGTTGATGCATGTTTCTTGCGCACTAACATGCGTAGAGAATGCTCTTAAAATAATAGAAACAACAAGATTAATTTTGTCATTTCAAAATCTAATCAATAGATACCTCACAAAATGAGGTAAAATGATACTTTTGTTATTATTGGGTTGTTAATTGAAAAATTACATATATATACTCTAGTCCCTCACAAAAATATTTTTGACAGCTCAACTCAAATCCAACAAAAATTTCTCGTATATAAATTTCAACTACCTATATAATTTATCATAATCCTTTTAAACTAAATAAAAAGAAAGAAAAAATTAAAGGAAAAAGTTAATGTTACATTGGGTGTTTCATGTAGTTTACACTTAACATTCTTAAAAAACACAAATATCCGATATTGTTGTACCCATAAAACATCTAAAAATAGGAGAGTGAACAACTCAACATTTGCCACCAGCAAAGTATATCTATAGACTGTCAAGTCTTGTATAAATCTTATTAAAAATCCCCAAAATGGAGAAGTGGAGAGGTTGACCATGTGTTGTTAGCTATGTGACATACCACGAGGCTATGTTTCCATATTCTGAACAAATAAATAATTTTTTTTTTTTTTAAAAAAAACGCTTCAAATGAAAGAAGCTGATTGAATGGGGACAAGATACAAAGGCCAAACTAAAAAAAAAAAAAAAAAAAAATTATCATTTATAATGAAGGAGCTTTATCAAAATGGAGGCAGTTGGCTTTGTCTCCCATTTACCAACATGCATGACTATCACTACATTCATTTACGTTTTATTTTATGCACACACACACACATAAGGAGTTTTATTTATTGATCATGTTTTATAATAAACAGTTGAATGACAGATGCACATAATTGTTTGAATAAAATTGAAAAGAAACATATACTAAAATATAATTCTTCAAATAATTCAGCTCGTGAATGACGTGATTATCTTCTCACACGAAAGAAATCGGAGCTTGGATTTAGATGACCCTAAGATTCCCAAAAGCAACACTTTAGAATTTGCCATTATTTAGAAATTAGAATGTGTAGTATTGTAGTTAAATCGTCATCTGCCGCATTATTTGTAAACAAAAATGTAGTTAATGAGACCAAAATTGGGTATGTATAATTATAGATATTATGTAGGGGTGGGAAATGGACGGGTTGGGCTGGATTTAGGTTGGGTTGAAAATGGGCTGGTCAATATGAGTTAAGATTCATATTCAACCCGTTCAGAATGGGTTAAAATGGACGGGTTGAAAATGGGCAGGATCAACCCGTTATGACCCGTGGACCCATTAATTATTATTTTTAATTAATTTTTAATTTTTAAATTTTTTTATACTTTCAAAAAAATAATAAAAATTTAGTAATGGAGAGATAGTAGTTATGAATATGAATCATCAACTAAAAATATAGAATTAGTTACCAAATATTTACAGCTTTATTAATAATGAAATTTTAATAATGGAGAGATAGAAGCTTTGAATATGAACCATCAACTAATTATTATATGTCTGTATATTAATAAAAAAAATAATTCAAAGAATATATATAAAATGAAAAAAAAAATTGTTATTAATAATTTTATTTTTTAATTTTTTAGTTTTTTTAAATTTTTTTAATTATTTTTAAAAATTTTAAAATTACTCATCAACAATGATAACCACCACTGTCTGTCAGCGACAATCAAATCGGCGGCGATGATCCTGACATCTTGGCCGAAGAGTCGCCGCAGACGGTGCCTCTTCCTCGCTCTCTGCTCGCCTCTCCTCCTCCCGTTCCTCTGCGCCACCTTCCCTCTCTTCTGCGCCATCGAAATCTGCCTCCGCCTGTGCCGCCAGCGGCGGAGGAATAGACTGAAGACTGCTCCGCCGGACGACTGCCTGGATCCTGGCAGAGAGGGGCTCCAATGCTGCGAGGAAGGTGTCGGCGGCGGTGGAGGTGATGAAGTGGTGCTGTTGCAGCGATATCTTGAAGATCAATTGTTCCTTGTTGTTGGATCTGTGTATGATTGCGTTTTTTTTTTAAATATCAAATGAAGTGGAACATTTCATTTCTGTTTAATTATTGATACTTAATTAATTCCTCTTTTAGTGAATTTTGGAGTTTATTATATTCTCAAATCTATATATGTGAAGAGCTCATTTCCAACAATTATATATATATAATAATTATTTTTTTTTAATTTTTAATTTTTTAATTTTATAAAAAAAATTTAATTTTAAGTTTTTTTACTTATTTTTAATTTTAAATTTTTTGAATAGATGTGTGTTGTGTGTTTATTATATGATGGGTGGAATATGGTTTGAATATGGTTAATCACATTCAATTCATCTTGACTCTCAAATTAAGTGGTTAAAAATTAACCAATCCATTTTGATCCTCAAATTAAATATGATTTACCCATAACCACTAAATAGCGACAAGCGAATATAGGCGGATTGATGATTCCTGATCTATTTTGCCAACCCTAATATTATCATACCAATCCTAATATCACTTAATGCACGTGTAATGTGTTTGATTTGCTTAGGCCAGGTGTAAATTTGAGCTAGAGGTCTCGCTACTGCAACTACAAACCATATAATTAAAATAGATTTGTTATTATGAGGTCCACCTCATGACACTTGTCATGAGCACTATTTTAAATTAGCACGGTTTGGGCAAAAAAATATAATGCACAAGTCACTGGCTCAAAATACCATAAAATAAAATTATATAAGACCGTCAAAATTGACATGAGCTCTCTTTGCTGACTAGTAACTAAACTGGACAGCCAAATCCAGTGATGAGAACACTCGATAAACACGACCAACCGTGTTTTGCTTATATCAAGATTTTAGGTAATTGTAACCGGACGCATTACCAAACGTGAGCTTATTAATATACTCTAATAGGTATGGGATTGATAAATAAGAATCTTATCCTTAAATAGATAATTAGTATTTATGCCTCGTGAATGTTAGTTTTGGAGTACTGTCTAAAATATGATGTACGCATTGGCTCGTGAATTTAGGTTCAACATAGGATGAAAGATACATGGTGTTTACATTTTTATTTATTTTCTTTTCTGGAGATAGAATGCCATACATAATTTAAAGTTGGAAGACAGCATTTTTATGGAAAAATTATTAAATATTCTGGAATTTTAAACCGAGCTTAATTATTGAATGACAAGAGAATTAAGTGTTTACTTCTATTAAACGATCTCGTGATTATTAGTTTTGGTCAATCACTAATTGACAATTAAACAAATATTTAAAGGGGGATTAACGCTTATACTATATAAGGGGAAGTACACTTTTCATTACTAGAATTGTGATTATGTATTAATCATCAATTTTTGTTTTTTTGTTTTTTTTTTTTTTAAGGGATTAATTTCCTTCTAGGTGATGTTTTTTTCCATGTGTGTTAAGTAAGTTAGAGAATCCCAACAAAGGAAAGTATGACGACGCGTTAATAATAGAGTAATGCTTTAAAAAAATATTCATGAATCATTTATTTCTCCATATTTAATCATGGAATTGAAATAATTTTTTAAAGAAGAATGTTTAATCATTTATCGCACATCTGATTGGTTGAAAAATTCAGTTATACAAGTTGTAATTAATGTCTCTTTCTTATTTTTTTGAAACTATAAAACTTTAACTTTTAAGACCAAACTATCCTGCTTGTACCTGTGTGTGTGTGTAACCTTCATTCTTCTTTGCTTACCTACCTTATTCTTTTATCTCTCTCTTTATCTTCAATTGTTTTTAACTATATATATACACTCACCGTGTGAATGGTTTCTAATATATATATATATAATTAATGGGAATTGATTGTTTCTTTCTTTCTTGCTTTCTTTCTTTCTTTTTGGTTTTATTTTTTATTTTTCAATTCTTTCATTTTCTATACATATTATATAGTAGTTAACCATATTGTGAATAGATTGGAAAACCATACTTCTCTTATTTCATATATTAACTAAAGCTCAAATTTTATAATAT